TATATATATATATATATATATTTATATATATAGATCTAATAGATAGATAGATAGATAGATAGATGTATAGATATTTTATTTTAAATATCTCTTAATGTTTGGAAATATTTTCAGTATCCGTGATAGAATTAACATATTCCATTTATGGATAAGATTTTTTTTACGATTCAATCAAAATTATAATCGATCGATTCAATTTTTTTGTCGACCTTTTTTTTGTTATTAAACACCCAAATCCAAAAAGTTTTTCATTAATAGAAATTTTTTATTATCCTTTTAATTCCATGTATAAAAAAGAGTTTATTTTGTTTTTATTACCGAATAGTTGAAGTCGTCTTGTAAAAACCCGAGAAGAATTTTAATTTTCAAATTTTTGATTAATTACTTGTTAATTTTTATAAACATTAATCGGAAATATATAATTAAATTTATATATATTTATATATATATATATATATAAATAATATATATAATAAATATCAAAATATAAAATAAATGATTTTTACTTTTATACAATAAGGATTTTTATTTAAATAAATTAATTTTTTTTTATACACAAAATGTTATAAATATACTAGTATATAATAAAATAAATAATATTTTTTATATTTTTAAATTTTGACCCAATAATATTTTGTCTTTTATCTGAATTTTTTTTTATATTTGTATAGGGACATTAAAAAAGTGTTAATGTATTTTTGTTGAAATTTATACTAGTAAATATCTAATAAAATTTATGACACATTCTTTTTTTCTTTTTTAAATTGTTTTTTATTTTATTTTTTCCTCTATCTATCTATCTTTCCCTCTATCTATCTATCTCTCATTTTCTATCTATCTATCTCTCTCAGTCAACAAATCTTAAACAAATTTATGAAATCTATATTCACCACCGTCCTAAACTGTTAGAAGAAGGAGAAAGAAAGACGAATAGACGTCAGTCCGTATGATAAGGTGTTCAGACATTACCAAAATTGAGTTATATATCTATAGAGGATATATATATATATATATATATATATATATGAAGATAGATAGATAGATGATAGATATTTTATCGAGCCCCAAAAAAAGGGCTTATTGGAATGTAGAGATGACCAAAAAACAATATTTACTAATTGTACAAATAAGACTTGAAATGATGGAATCAAAATTATGTCCACCTTTTCCTGAATTAAACACCAGATAGAAGAAAAAGAAAAGAAAGAACGAATAGACGTCAGTCCGTCGATGGTAAGACGGTGTTTAGGAGACATTACCAAAATTGAACATATATAAAGAGCTACAATGTAGAGGAAATAGTGGAGAGCCATGATCGCCAACGACCGGAAGGAACACGGCACATGGAAGAAGAATGAAAGGCAGTAAAAGGACAGCGGAAAGGTGTTTAAGAGAGACACAAAAGTACAGGAGATTGAGGAGAGCCATGATCGACAATGTCCTTCCAGATAGGATCCGGTATATAGGTGAAGAAGAATGGATGGTGGAACGGTGATTAGGAGAGATAGTCAAAAAAGACAACATATATTAAGAGCTACAAAGAAGAGGAAACAGTGGAGAGCCATGACCAGCAACGTTCTGAAGGGACATGGCACACAGAAGAAGGTTCAAATGAAGAAGAGGGGCAGTGAAAAGAACGCATGGAATTAATTTATATATATATATATGTGTGTGTGTGTGTGTGTGTGTGTGTGTGTGTGTGTGTGTGTGTATAAATATATATATATATATGTATATAAATATAAATAAATAATTATTTATATATTATATGCGCGGTACTTATTAGAAAGCGCTCAATATCAGAGATAGAGCTAACATATTTGGTTGGATAGATGTGAGTTTGTGACCCTGGGTTTCACGCTTTAGCGATCGTCAGACAATCTGATTAATTTTTTAAAAATATTTGGGTTTATGTAGATTGCGTGTATTGGTGTTATTATGGAAGTGGGGGGGGAATTGTCGTCGTGATGTTACTCATGCTAACACAAACATCGATGTGTGTTCATACGCCTAATGGAGTACGCAGGCACATATACATATTGGCCGTCCGTCGGGACTCATACATATATAAACAAATGTAAGCAGTTTCGGATATGACATATGTATGTATACGGGTGGTGTTGTGTCTATACATACGCATTTGTATGTTGAAATTCATAGATTGGAAGTGTAGCGATAATTTCTCGTGAATGTCTCGTGAATGTATACATGTCATATTTTTATTTTTCCACTGAATTATATTTCCTCGCATGTATGTATATACGTGTGGTGGGGTGTGTGTAAAATTATGATAGGTAAAAATTATTATTATTTATATTTATTTTTAAATTTTTAAAAAGAAGGGGGTTTAATTTTTATATTTAAAGCTGGTTGTTTGTTTGTTTTTGATGACTGTATATGTAACAGTTAGACATTTCGGTTTGTAATCCTTATTGGTTATTTTATCTGGTGATATTTAATATTTAATATGCTGAGCTAAAGGGTAGTTTATGTTAATAATTATAGCGTGTCTATATGATAATTATGTGATAGTAATGTTGTAAGGGATTGGAGACAATGATAATATAATTAGCTAATAGTTATTGTAAATTGGTAGAAGTGATTAGTAGTGGTGGTGGGAGAATGATAAAACCATAAATGTAGTTATAGTGGTGGTAGCTTGAACTAAAAAGTGGTTGTTGGTGTTTTATTTTATTTTGTTATATGTATTAATTTATTTTGGTATAAATCCTGATAATTGGTATTCTGTGTAAAATTATGATAGTTGAAGATTGCTATAATTTTTCATTTTAAATTTACAAAAAACATTATTGTTATTATATTAAAGCTGGTTATTTCCTTGTTTTTTTAGTTTTTTGATGACTGTGTATATGTGACAGGTAAAAATTTCAGTTTGTAATCCTTATTTGTTATTTTTATGGTGGTATTAAATATGCTAGGGGAGGGGGTAGTTTACGTTAATAATTATGGCGGGTTTATATGGTAATGGTAGATGTGGTGTGATAGTAATGTGTAAGGTGGTTGGTGGCAATGATAATATAAGTGATTAATATTTATTGTAAATTGTTAGTAGTGATTAGTAATGTTGATGGGAGAATAACAAAAACCTATAAATGTAATTATTGTGGTGCTAGCTTGAACTAAAGAGTGGTTGTTGGTGTTTTATTTTATTTTCTATATTTATTTGTTTATTTTTATTTATTTTGGTATGAATCCTGGTAATGAGTATTTATTGTCATGGTTACATATGGAAATTATATCTGATCTTTTTTTTTTTTTTTTTTTTTTTAAGGTATTAAATATGCTGGGGGAGCAATATACGTTAATGATTATGGTGGATTTATATGTTAATAGTAGATGTGATGTGTAAGTGATGGTGTTGGGTGTTGGTGGTAATTATAATATTAGTAGTTAATAGTTATTGTAAAGTGGTAGAAGTGATTACTAATGGTGGTGCAATGATAATAACGATAGATGCAATTATTGTGATGGTATCTTGAAATTAAATTGTGATTGTTGGTGGTTTGTCTTTTTTATCCGTTTGGTATGAATTCGGATAATAGGTACTGGTTCTCATGCCTACATTTGGAGATTATCTCTGATTTTTTGTTTAGTAAATTCTTTTGCGGTTTGTGTGATATTATTGCTACTTTTTCGTGTAGGCAAAGTAGGCATTTTTTTGTAATGTTGATGTAGGCAGGGGCTTTTTTCGATATTTCCCAACTTATTGTTGGTGTGATATTTTTGTCTTTTGCTGCCATATGTATGTAGAAAGTGTGGTGCTGTTCGAATATTTCCTGTTGGTGAATGAAAGGTTGTGATTGTTATTCCTCATCTTGAATGGACCTTCGGTGGCACCGATGTAGTGCATTATGTTGTTGTTTGCACTTACCTTGGCCTTGTATATTGTGTTCGTAAGTTGGCAATTTCCCTGGAGCGGAGATGTTGTTCTATTTCTGCAGTTGCATATTGGATTCTTGGTTTCATTTTTGTAGGTTGTCATTTTTTTGTTGTGGCTTTTGATTATTTCTGTTGTTTTTGTGCAGCTGTAACTGATCATTACGTTATTTTTGTTAAATATTTTTCATAATTTGTTTGTTTCAGTGAAGTGTATATAAATAGAAAAGTGTATATAAATATAAATATATATATATATAATTATTATTATATATATATATATATATATATATATATATATACATATATATATATATATATATATATATAAGTCTGATAGTCTGCAGTACATATTTTAAAAGGGTTCTGACAGTCCTTTGAAACAATTTATTACTTGGAACCTTAAAGTGTTCTGTTTTTATTCAAACATATTTGCTCTGAATTTATATTGAGCTCTCTGGATTTTATCCTAGTTTTTCATAAACTATATATATATATATAAGTGCGCAGGTATGCAGAAAATAGAAAAGAACACATTGGGTGCATAATCCGGAGTTCCTTAGTATTTTTGTTTTTATTTTTAAGAAGACAGTGCTCCATACAGAAGTAGAGCTTATATTATAATTTTCTTTTTGTTTTTTTGATTTTTTTCCCCATTTTTTTAAAAAAAATATTAAATATATATTATATATATATATATATATATATATATATATATATATATATATTTATATATATATATATATATATATATATATATATATATATATATATATATATATATATATATATATATATATATATATATATATATATATATATATATATATATATATATATATATATATATGTTAATTTATATATCTATATATATATATATATATATATATATAGATATTATATATCTATCTCTATATATATATGTGTGTGTGTGTGTGTGTGTTTGTGTAATGAATTATTTTTAATTAATTTATACTAGTACTGACAAATAAAATATTTTGTACTAGTGTTTTTATTTTTAAAATTTTTTTGACGCACCCTTTATGTATAATGTGTGAGTGTGACGTGGGGGGGGTTATTTGTATTTCGTTGCCAGTCAACAGATGTCCACATTGTTTTCTACATATTATTTTCTGTTCGTCTATCTATCTATCTATCTATCTATCTATCTATCTATCTATCTATCTATCTATCTCACACTGTTCATATCTATCTATTTATATCTATATCGATTTCACACTGTCTGTCTGCCTGTTGACCTTTGTTCGAGGTGAGAGGTCATCAGAGATTCCCGATGAATCCTAATTTGTTTACTGCTTCGTGTTGCTATAATCCATATTTCTCGGAATTTCACGAATAAAATTAGTTTCATTTTTTCTTTCTTTCAAATCATGAAATTCAAAAGACTTTTTAGATTTTTGAAAATTCAATCAAAATAATTTTGACCTTTTTTTTTTTGTTATTAAAAACCAGAGTTCAAAAGTTTTTTTTATTAATTGAAATATTTTTGGGTTTCCTTCAAATTCCATGAGTCAAAAAAGAAGAGTTTATTTTTCTTTTTTATTACAGATAAAATATTACTTAATACTTTAATAATATTAATTAATACTTTAATAATATTAACTAATATTTTACTTATGTCGCGGACCCGGTGTGAATGCAGTCTTGGCCTACGAAAAGGTGGCCTTGTGCCAGACACTACACACGACTACCGGATCCACAAACAAAGTAAAAAGAGAGAGAAGGATATGCAAACATATATAGCGTGTTCTTTCTCATTCAAAAATATCACAATTTCCTAGGTGAGGAAATGGGTCGTTTTTCAAGTGCATAAAATGAGAAAATATGTAAACAGGAAAAATGACTGAAGTCTGATAAAAGCACAAATATAAAATTTATTGTATTTTTTTAAAACAAGTATTTAGTCTCGTGAGTGGAGACAATAGGTAAAATTACTGAAACTTTGCAAAAAAAACGATAAGGCAGTGACAAATAGTTCATCAATGTTCCGCGCCAAAATGAAAACCAAAATGGCTAAAGGCGGGAAAAGTTCATCAGTAGGAAAGTTCTGGAACGATGCCTGCTTGAGTAATAATGAACGTGAATACTGTTGAAACTTGACTAATGCATGGAATAATAATGCAACACAAAATGTACTTAGAACAAAATGTATTGAAACAAGAAAGTGTACACAATATTTACATATAGTCTTTTGTATATTCTTGGAAAGACCGTTCCGGAAGAATGTGTTGACTTAGTCGCAGTCGGACAGAGTCTCTGGATTGAATCTCTTGATTACTATTATTTATTTGCATTAAAATACAAAATGTGGCACGAGGCCGAAAAAGGGGGATCGGGAATGGCGGTCTTTTTCTGTCTTAAATCTAAAACTTAGCTAGTCGCAGACACTGACCCAAACATGCCAACAATATTCCAATCACCAAAACAACACATTCACTCCTACCTTTCTTATTACGTCCACCATAATACCTCAAATTCTCTATGAAGTCCTAACTAGTCCCCTTATATACAGATAATGTTCATGGGGGGAGGGTCATAAAATAACAAATTTTAAAAATATCCCCAAATGAATATTTACAATGTGTCTTAAATATTTACAATAAAACTAAACAAAAATGTGTTAGTAATAAAACCCCCCACAAACCATGAATGTGGCAGAAACATCAGTTAACCGGACGAAATCAATGCGGGACTATGAAAAAATTAGGAAAAACATTCAAACCTCCAAGCATTCACACAGGCACGCACACACATTCAAAGACAACAACAAATACGAAAAATCACCCATACGAAACGAAAGGCGCCCCGCATCCACCAGAGAACTGACATCACTAACCACCTAACGAGGGAGGGGATGGGGAATTAAACAAAAGAAAAATAGGGACAGAAATAAAAGGGACCAATGAGCATACATACCCTAGCTAAGTTAACCGGGGAAAAAAAGAAACTAAAAATTCAAAATAGAAAACCTAGACTAGCCTAATATCTGGGTGGGTTGCCTATGTTCAACCCTGTTAGGACAAAATTCTGTACCTAACCGACATCCAAATGTCACTCTAGGTCAGCCCCTTTTACTCTACACATTCGCGCAAGATTCACCCACCTTTTACCAAATTCTGATGATGGGAGCCGCCGCCTTTCCGTCCTAATCTTGACTTTAAGCTGATGCTTAAAGTACAAGATCAGTTGGGAAGAAGTGAACTTCTCGCCATCGTAGAATTCCTTCATTCGCGTCGTCCAAATCATGACTCTCATAACCCCTAGTAAGCAACAGAACACATAGTGTTCAGCCTTCGTCAATTGCGACACCACAATGCTACAAACAGAACTGGCTTCCAGGACAAAAAACTTTCCCTGCATCATGCGAACCATGAGGCCTTCAACAAACTTGCATTAACGGCACTACCGTCTTGCACTGAAAAAAAAAGGCGTGACCAATGGTCTCGACTTTTCCCAGTACAGCGACGACAGTTTGGATATTTCTCCAAGCCTGCTGAACAAAGTCTTTTGCCGACCCAGAGGGCCCCACGAATCATCAGCCAGGTGAGTGATGCCTTATCATTATTGAGACATTTCAACCCAGGCGCCCAAGGCCATATTGAGCGAGCCTCCTGCTTCGTAAGACCGAGCTCGTCGATCAGACCATCTCGAACGGACCCCCTAACTAACAATCGATATAATGCCTTACGAGACAACGGTTGGGCGTCGGAGAGGCCATCCGACGTCCGCAAGAGGTGTTTCAAAGCACGACGACATTCGCGGTAGAAGGAGCACTCGACACGAGGTGTACGGCCGGCTTCCTCCTCGCACGAGTGCACACTTCTCAGGGATGGGAAATGTTTTCGGACATCTTCTTTCCAAAAGGTGCCCACCTCATCCAAACATTCGGTCTAGAAAGGTAATGCGAAGCATATATTGACGAATCTCAATGCTAGGCATACCCAGACCGCCCTCAGAGGGATGAAGGCAACAGATCTCGCGAGATACCATATGGACCTTGCCTCTCCACAAGAAAGAGAACAAGGCCTTGACAAATGACATTAGTCGGGCATACGGGAGTGGAAGCACCGAGAGTCGGTAGAGGAGGATCGGATAGATGTGTGAAACACATACTTCCGCCCTTCCCTTCAGGGAAAGTCTCCTCCGAGACCACAGATTACCCGCGGCCTCGGCCTTCCCTTGTACCTCCGACCAATTCATTTCCAACTGGAGATCAGGACCGAACCAGACGCCGAGTATCTTGATCGGCCCATCCGTCCAGAGGAAAGGTCCGAGAAGAGAAACTCCCTTCCACGCACCCAACCACAAGCCCACAGACTTATCGCGGTTGATCTTGGCCCCTGTCACCATCTCATACCCACTGATCTCCTTGCTGACTTCGTCAATCTCGGCTCTGCTCGACACAAGAACCGAAACGTCGTCACCATAGGCAGAATACCTGGCCGAGGTGGAAGCACCAGGCAGCGAAATTCCGCGTAGGACCGGATTCGCCTTTAACTTGCGAAGGAAAGGTTCCAACGCAAGAACGTAAAGCAAGGACGAGAGCGGACAACCTTGACGAATGGAGCGAGACAATACGAAAGGCTTCGATCTTACCCCATTCACTTCCACCAGCGCACCGGGGGTCGCATACAAAAGTCGGATCCAGGAGCGAAAGTCGGCTCCGAAACCGGTCGCCGAAAGTACAGCCTCCAGAAATCGATGGTCAACCCTATCGAAGGCCTTGGACTGATCTAAATTGATCAGCGCGGCTTCACTGTCGACTTGTTCTAAGATCAAGCGTACTATATGAAGGTTATCCTGAATAGTCCTACCCTTCACAGCACAAGTCTGTTCAGGGCCAATCAGACGAGACAGGACAAGCTGCAAACGGTTGGCTAAGATCTTCGCCAAAATCTTTAAGTCAGTATTTAACATCGTTAAAGGGCGAAAGTTCCCTAACCCATCCCCACCGTCCTTGTCCTTACGCAGCAACTTGATCACACCCCTAGTGAAGCGTTGAGGTAAAGACCCCTGCTTCATCCAGTGGTTGAAAATCAGTTCCAGCAAAGGAACAAAAACGTGCGACAACCTCAAGTAAACTTCGTAGGGAAGACCATCTAATCCCGGAGACTTATCCAGGCCAACCTGCTTCAGCGCTTCCCAGATTTCCGACTCTGTTATGGAGCCCTCGCACCTAGCCACTTCAGCTGCCGAGAGGCAGGGAAAATCAGCTAAATAGGCGTCGAACTGAGCAGAGCTCAGACCGGGCTCCCTGGTGAAAAGATCCTGAAAGTAATCCCGAAAGACCTCACATATGCCCGTGTTTGTAGTCACGGTCCGCTTATCCGGTAATGTGACGCACGCTATATGTCGCCTAGACGCGTTTCGATTCTCCTCTACACGCAGTTCAGCGGCCATATTCGTAGCCTCAGAAGACATTCTTTTTAACCTAGCCCTAACTACCAGAGCTTGATCCTTCTTGATAAGCAAGGAGGCCAACTCTGCCTTAGCTAAATCTATGTCTCCACTAACACGGGATTTCACTGCCCGATCGACTTTATTTTCTAAAGCAGTTTGCGCCGCTAATCTATGTAGATTGAGTGGACGACTAAAATCGGCAGCAAACGTTCGAATTTTAGATTTTAAATTGCCCCACCAGGCATTTCCCATAACCGCCCCCGTCAATTCCTTTTTATCGTTTTATCGTTAGTAACACCTGATCAAAAAGTGAACAGTTCAATTTCCAGTAGCCAGCCAATCTAACCTTTAGGTTTATCTAAGTTTACACGGACCCGGACAAGCCTATGATCCGTATAAACTATATAATGGAAACTTGGACACCCTACGAGCCCTACATCGACTCTCCTAACTAACACTCGGTCCAGGTAGCTCGCAAGCGACCCAGGAGCCGAGTTGCCACTATTTGTCCAAGTCCATGCTACCTCCCGAGGGTGTTCATTCCGGAACTTATCGACGAGATCAAACCCATCGATAAAGTCCCGAAATGGTTTCACATCCAGGTTGTTAGTACCTTGTTCATGCCCTATACGATCTATATCGGGGTCAAGGACGGCATTCCAATCCCCCGCTAAAACTACTCGACGAGATGTCGTCAAGTACGGCGCGATCTGCCGAAACAAAGCAGGCCGCTCGGCATGGTTAGTGGGCGCATAAACCCCAATGAGACGTAGAGCCTTATCCTTTATGGTAACATCCAGCACGCAAAGCCTGCCCGCCGGATCCGCGAAGACAAGGGTACATGCAGCCTTCAAGGCGCTGAAGGTCACGAGAGAGCCTCGCCCTGCGAGACTCGGACCTCAGGCCCCGGACATTTAAACTAGCTAACCAAAGTGCCATTGTGAAGCCGATTAGGGTTGTCCTTCAGGATAGAACATGGCTGGGGAGAGGGCACCCACAGCTCGTCCCATGGATCCAGACGCCATCTCATTTTCGACAGTATCATCCTGAGACCAACCGCCGATGTCCGAAGGGTATGTTAATTTCAGTGCTCTATAAAGGGATGGGTGAACGAAAACTGGGACCCTCCCTTTAAATTTTTGATTTCCTTCCTCTGCTTCTGGGTCGAGAAGATAGGTAGCTGGGGGCACCATTTTGAGAGACGACTGGGCCTCCTCTATTATGCCCCAGATCTCCCGCGTACCCGGGCCAGTTCTTATTACGGTCAAAATTCTTTTGGCAGACGGGAAATTTCCGGGATTTTCAACATCTATCCCGTTTATCTTTTGAAAGTTCCACAGAACTTTTAAGTCTTTAGGGTTCCTCGTCTGCCCAAAGACCCTTTCTGCCTGGTCCCGGGATACGCGGCAGACGTCTTCCCCTGGGAGATATGGTGGTTTGATTTTTTTTTCTTTTTGTCGGTCGCAGTTTGAGATTCAGGGCTTCTGCCCGTTTTTTTGTGGTGAATGAACAGGAGTAGACATGGGTGAGACATTAGGTGTAGTTAATGGAGTCCAACCAGTAGGAGTCCTTACCGGCGAAGGTTTGGACGAATGAAGTGTTTTTGCTGGAGAGTTTGCTGCAGATTTGGGTGGAGGTGGTTTAATGAATGTATTCTTTGATAAAGAAGGGGCAGAGGATAGGGGGCCCGGTGCCCCCAGCGATTTTTTACTTTTACCCCGCTTAGCCTCCAACTTTTCCTTTAGATTTTTTAAATCTAATATTTTCTCCCAGCTGGGCTCGTTCATTTTCTGGGCTTCAGACGCAGTTTTTGCATAAGACGCCGAGGCGTCGCCCTCAGAGCTGGTAGAGGGAATGGGGCTGTAGGTGACTTTGTCCTTGGGGTCATGCTGGGACTGAGGAACCGCTGTTTGGGTCATCCCCTTGCCCCTAACTACGAGGCGCCATTCCCCCTCATCCTTATCGCTATCCACACTTGTGGAAGGCGTCGTTTTAGGGGGTAATGTGGGTCTGGGCCCAACCGAAGGATTTTCCTCACCGGTCCGCCTCGCAGCTAGGCCCACTACAGGCGCCGCGGATTTTACCTTTTCGGCCAAGGGGGGATTTTGATCACCTGCGACCGGACCTCCAGGGGCCTTCTTCCCTGGGCAGGAGGAGGAAAGGTGATCAGTCTCTCCACACCTCCAGCAAGTTGGTCTCCTACCGGTCACTATGACCGGCATTTTCCGGTCGCCAAACAGTTGGGGACGGACTTGAAGGCCTTCTGGTCGAGCATTATATCGAAAGTCCATCCCCCATTCAAATTGTCAGAGAGAGTCCCTAAAATTTGGCCAAACTGCATAAAAAATGCAACCAGGAGCTCTCCCGAAATTTGAGGAGGAACCTCAAAAGCGGCCACCCTGGTCCGCCTGCGGCCTTCATATTCGGTTCTTATAATTAAATCTTTCGTAATTAATTCTCTTTTGGCCATGGCCAGGCAATCTTCTGGTGTGGGTAGCAGAATGTCCCACATGAAGAACCCAGTGCCCTTAATTACACTTTGGGGTTTTATCTCCAGGGACAGAAGTGATTTAATCACAGTGTCTTTTGTGGGCGACAAATCTTACGAGTTTTCTTGTCCACCACCAAAAAACTATTTTTTTCACCATTCTTTTGACGTCCCAAAAAGGTCTTTCTTTCAGGAAACATTTGACCGACTGGGACCGTCGGCCTCCCATGATGTAAAAAGTCATGGAGACTTCCACCTTTTTTTGTTTTATCAGGTGGGTCTCTATCAAGACTTTTAGCATGAGTGTAAAAAATGTGGGAAAGGAGCAAAAAATGGGGGAAACTGGATAACCCAGAAAATAAAAATAAAAAAAAAAGACAATAAACTTCAAATGAATAAACTGGTAAAAATAAAAGTAATGTAAAATTAAAGACAAACTAGATCAACTGAAGGAAATAAATAGACAGGTAAGACTCTTTTTTTTAAAAGAAATAAAAAATGGCGCCCGAAGGCAGCCGAAAAATAAGAAAAAAAAGAGAACTCCTCTCTTTTTTTATCAAAAATTCAATTAAGATGTACAAGAAAAAAAAGAAATAAAAAAGTCTGGTTTGCAACCAAAAAAAAATAAAGGATTGCAGCCGAAGCCGCTAAAGAAAATAAATTAAACGCAAAAGAAAAACAAACTAGTCAAACCAAAAACGATTGCGACCGGAGTCGCTAATTAAAAAAATTAAAAAGAAGGAAAAAATAAAAACAAAGCTTTTTTTTTTTTCTTTTCTTAAACTGTTCTAAGAAATAAACAGAAATAAAAAAAACAGCTATCGTCCGGTAAGACTTTGTCAAAGCGGAAAAAAAAAAAAAAAAAAAAAAAAATATGGGCCAATGCCCAGAAATAAAAAATAAAACAAACAAAAAAAAATGGAAAAAATAAAAAATATAAAACTAAACAAAAACAGAAAATGTGGGTCGAAGTTTGTCAAGCAAGCAAGTTCGTGAATCAAATCCTCGTGGGCCAAACAATTTCGTCGCACTGCAAAACAAGAAAACCATCACAAACAACCAACACAGCCGGTCAGGAATAAGTCCGAACAAGACAGAGGGAATCGCGTGATTCCTCCCCCTGTCTTCCCGGTACCAACCATATTTATATGGTCGGTACTCCACTATGCAAATTAGGTAGATCCTACCACAACAAATACAACAAGGAATAAAAATACTCACTGCGAATTTTGTTAGTGTGAGTATAATGAAATATTTTTAAAGTTCAAAAGGTTGGAAAAAGAGTTCAAATGTGTTTGGTCAGATTATCAATTTCCATTGAGGAGAATTCTGAGTTGTTCGCGTCAAGACGAGGAAATTAGTCTTGGAAAGGTCTGAGACGACCGTATTGTAGAATTCACTGGTAGTGAGTAGAGGAAAGTTCGAAAGTTGTTCGCATCAAGACGAAAAGTTAGTCTTGGGAAAAAATGTATGATAACGACAGAGTATCTGTCTCTACATTTTCTAGCGGGCATAGGAGGAAGGTTCAACATGTTTTACATTAGGACGAGAAATTAGTCTTGGAAAAATGTATCGTCGACAGTGCTGCAGTCTCGACATTTTCTAGCAGAAAACGGAGGAAAGGTCAGACGAGTCGTTTGCATCAAGACGAAAAAAAAACAATGTAAAAGTGTGATGGGTGCAACGTTTTCTAGTGGAGAAACGGACGAAGGTTCGAATTGGTGGTTCGAAGAAAGTTATGATCACACGACATGTTGAAGTTTTGGTTAAGATATTCCGGCTCGTTTATGGGTTAAGAGCACGGAATAAATGAGTTGTCCTTCTAGCTTGAGAATTCGGGAGCAACTGAAATTTTGAAACGCTGGTCGTCCGTGACGTCAGAAAAACGCGCGGGAAAAATTCAAATTCCAGCTGCAAGCATCAGTAGCAGCTTGACACAATGAAGTCGGCAACAAATATCAGCAGTAGCCAGTTCACAACGACGTTTACTATTATTTCTAGCCGCAAGTGAGGGGTAGGGATGCAATCCGCGCGCGCGCGCACGTAAAATGAAGGTGGAAATACTGTGGTATTCCACACTTGTTACAGATAAAATATTATTTTAATAAAAGTCATCCTGTAAACCCGAATCGAATTTCTTTTTTAACATGTATTGTTAATTTCTTATAAGAATTAATCGGAAATAATTAAATTTGTATCCGTTTAAAAAAAAAAATATTAGTCAGTCGTATAAAATAATTAAAAATAATAATTAATTAAAAAATGTCAAAATATAAAATAAAAAAGATTTTTACATTTTACAATATGAATTTTTTTTTTGTGAAAATAAAATTTTTTTTTTTTTATTTTGCACAAAAAATAAATTTAATTAATTATTTTATACTAATATTAACTAATAAAATAGAATATAGTCGTCTTTTATTTTTAATAAGTTTTTTATTTTATTTTACCAACAATTAATAAAAAAGTTTTTTTTTCATATGATTAAATGTCGTTATTTGAAGTAAAAAAAGAAAGAAAAGAAGAGAATTCGCCCCTCTCTCATCGTTCCATGTTTTCTCTCTTGCTTCTCTCATTCTCCCCTCTTCCTCTCATCTATAACACGTAAAGAAAGTCACGTGTCCAGGGGGCGTGATTATTCTCGTCCAATGAAATGCCTTGTATTCCGATGAGGTCATCCGTACGGCCGACGTCCTTTGCAGTTTGCTTTCAGAAAATTCAACAGACAAGACGTGTTTTGTTTCCGTCTCGCTTCTTTTCATCCCAAAAGTGAAAATCAAAATCAAATGTAAGTAAGAATTTTCTTATCGTTTCTCCAAATCATTCAACCTTCTTCTTAAATGTTTCCATCAACACAACAAAACCTTTTTCTTCCTTTTTTTTTTTTAATCATTTCAACCCAATGAAGGCAAGAAAGCCACTACGACGTAAAGGGTGCGGTTTTTAAGTCTGAAAAAAAAAATTAAAAAATATCTCTTTATTATTAGATCCATTTTTTTTCTTTTCTCTCCCGAAAAAATTGAATTTAATTTAGAAAACTTTTTTCTTTTTTAATCGAAAAATGTTCGTCTGACTCGTTGTCTTCAATTTGTTGATTTGTTATTGAATAAAGCAGACGATAAGTTATTTTGTCCCCGAATTTACTTATCTGCTTGTGAAATACTTAGAAACCCTTCCGAAAATTCTTTCAGTCTATTCGCATCTATCAGTCTATCTATCGGTCTATCTCTTTGTTTCTTTAAAAGCAAAGAAAAAAAAGAAATACCCCCTTCCTCTCTCTTTCTCTCTCTCTCTCTTTCTCTCTCATGATTCGAAATCATTTTTATCATTTCTTCACCATTTTCTTTTTTCAAAGAAAAATTCTTGTCTGACTCGTTCTCTTTGTTTTTTTCTTCTTCTTCTTCTTCTTCTTGAAAAAAGAAAGAATACGATAAGTTTTTTGTTCACCGCCCTCCCCGATTTCCTATCTACTTCCTTAAGGTTTGTTGTAGGATTTAAAAAGGAAGACGAGGCACTACTTAAGTAAAGTGGTCCGCTTATTAAAAAAACAACAAAAAAATGTTTAAAATACTTACTCCCGAAAACTGATTCTATCTATCTATCTCTCTCCCTCTCTCTCTCTCTCTCTCTCTATCTATCTATCTATCTATCTATCTATCTATCTATCTATCTATCAGGAATTCTCTCTCTTTCATACATCCCTTTCTTCTCTCTCTTATTGCTTATTTCTCCCGTTCACTTATTTTCCCTCGCTTGTTATCTCATGAAACTCTCTCTCACTCTCTCTCTATCGGTGAGTCTATCTGTTTATGAAAAAAAAAAAGGAAAAATATTCCCCCTTCTCTCTCTCTTCTTCCCTATTCCTCCCCTTCATTTTCTCCTTATTTTCCCTCCCTTCTTATCTCATATAACGCCCTTTAGTAGGGTGTGGTTATTCTCGTCCAATGAAATGCCTTCGGTTCTATGACGTCACAGCTCCTCAAACTCAAATTTCATAAAAAACAATTTTTTTTTATTTTCTTTTTTTGTTGGATTTTCTTTTTTATTATTTTTTAACCGAATTCATATTGCGAGAAAAACTTTTTATTCTTACTTTATTCTTACCTTCCCTTTCTCTCTCTCTCTCTCTCTCTCTCTCTCTCTCTCTCTCTATCTCTCTCTCTTATATTGGTCTATCTATCCATCTATCTCTCTGTTTCCTTAAAAGATAAGGAAAAAAATGTTTCCTCTCTTTTATACAATCTTTCTTTCTCTCTCTTTACGCCTCATTTTCCCCTTCACTACTTTCCCTCCCTTCTATCTATCTATCTATCTATCTATCTATCTATCTATCTATCTATCTATCTATCTATCTTTTAAATACTGAGAGGAAAAGTTCTTTTTCTCTATTAATAGAATTAGTTTTTTTTTAAATTAATCAAATTGTTATTTTAGCAAAAGAAAAAAAAATATTTCACTTAATTTAAATTAGTTTCTTTTTCGGTTTTTATGTGTGGACCACTTTATTTAAGTAGTGCTTAATTTACTCGCTTTTATTGTCCTTGTGCCATACTAGATTGGCGATGAAGATAAAAATATAAATCTTCATTTTTTACGCGTCTTTTTGAAAGAAATTGAAAAAATAATTGGAAAAAATATTAAAATTTTCAAATATTACAATTGATAAAAAGAGAATGTTAAATGTGACTGTGAAAGCGGAAAATTAGAAGCCCCTCCTCCTTTCTCTCTGTTTCTTTTACCCTTTCTTTCCTTCTTTGAATAACTCTTCTCTCCCTCTCTTTCTTCATTGATAACCACTCTCTCCATTCCCCACTCTCTCACTATTTCATTCGCCCCACCCCCGACTCTTCTCCTCCCCTTCATTTATTTGAGATTTTAGAAGAAAACAAATTTTCTTTCCGGAAATGGATTTGTTTTTCTTGTAAAATCTCGAAATTTTGGGTCATTTTTCTTCCGGTTTTTTAAATGGACTTTTTTTTTGTCTTTTTCTGATTTTGAACTTTGAACTTTTTTTTTTATTTTCGTTCTTTTCAGATTTGACTTTTTATCTTCATAAGAAATTCTCCAAATGGCGTCCAATGTAAGTAAAGAAGAGACATTCCAATGCTCGAAATGCGACCAATTTTTGGACTTGAAATCGAAGACGTTGCCATGTCTTCATTCTTTCTGCAGAAGGTGTGTGGAGGTGATTCTTGGAGGAAATGGCCTGTGTCCCCATTGCCAAGAACATGTGACCGGTGACGATTTGAGACTGGCACCATTTTTGGTGAAATCTTTGAGGCGCCGTCAGCTGGAATCCCGCAAACTGAATTGTGATACTTGTTCGGAAGAGGGCATAGAATCGACTGGCCAGATTTGGTGCCAGGACTGTCAGAAACTCTTGTGCCAGACTTGCGAGAGTGTCCACACCAAACATGAGACCAAAGACTTGTCGGGCGTGTCGAGTGTGGAGGCCATCCGGGTCGTCACGATGGAGGACTGTCGACGTCACCGCAAATCCAGGGACGCCTTTTGCGACCGGTGCAATGTGTGCATGTGTAACGTGTGTTACACTGATCACGTGACCGCCTCCCCTCAGTGTCCGCCTCGTCCGCTGTCGGTGAGGGAGGAGGCGGCGAAGGGAAAAGAGGAGGGCGCCTCCACCCTGGAGCGGGAACTCCTCCAGTTCGAAATCCACATCCGGGCGACGTACGGGCAGACGGATCGATCCATTGAGCAACTGCCAAGGGATTGCGATTCCGAATGCTCCAAACTCTTGGAGGATTTTGAGACATTCGTGATTGAGGCACGGCAGAAGTTGATAGAGCTGTGCGATAATATGAAAGTGATGGCGTCCGAACTGGAGAGAAAATGGCGCCGCTCCCTCAAGGAGAGAGAAAAACTTTTGGGGAAGGTCAAGATCTGGCAGCAAACCTTGGAACATTTGTTGAAGGACGACGCCGACGATGAGGACGTCGTTTGTGGATTGAGGTTGGTGAGAGCTGAGCTTTCTGCACGGCTCCACCAATCGTTTGCTCCACCCGAGAAAATCCGTTGGATCGTGACACTTCCAAAATGGTATCACGATTCCCTAGAGTCACTGAAGAAAGAAATAGCAGATTGGACGGCAGAGACATCCGGGCATTTGCCATTGGAAAAAAAATGTCGTCTGCAAGGATTGAAACCGCTGTCGTCACAGACATCCGGGCATTTGCAATTGGAAAGTGAATGCCGTCTGCAAGGATCGAACCCGCCGCTGTGGATTTCATCGATTGTCGCCAGCGATGAAGACAATCACGTCTTTGTTGGCGACTGGGAAGGCGGATCGATTCTGGAATTCAGAGACTCTGGGGAATTGGTGGGCCAAGTTCCCTTAACGGACGGAGGAGAGAAATTCTACCCCCGGGACATGTGTCTCCTCCCCGAAGACATTTTGGTTGTTTGTTCTCCTGGAGGGTCGGAATCGGGGGGAAAAATTTTCTTTTTGGCGCGACAAAAATGTCTGCCATTTTTAAAAAAGCAAAAAATAATTGACACGAAAGGAAAATTTTATTCTTTGTGTCAAAATGAGAAAAAAATTTTCGCTTGTGATTGGAATTTTGAAGGAATTCTTTGTTTTAATGAAAATGGAGAAAAAATAAAAACAATCCTCCTTCAGGGGTCACCGGGGGGCGGTGTTTATCCACCCCGCCTTCGTACCGATCCGACGAATGGGAATTTCTTGGGGACAAGAGAAGGAAAATCGGAATTTTTTGTTTGGAATAAAAATGGAGAAATTCTTCAAAAATTGCAAAAAGAAGAATTTTTCGATTTTTGTTCAAATAAATTTGGATTTTTTTATTTTTCGAGCCAAAAAGAAATTTTTTCTCTTTTACCAAAAAAAAAAATTGTATAAATTTCCGGAAAAATCTGAAGAATTTCCGAAGATTTTTGTTTCCGACCAAAAATTGTTTCTTTCTTTTAAAAAAGATGGAAAATATTTATTGACAATCTTGAAAATTATTTAAAAAAAAAGTTCATTTTGTTTTTTGTAAATAAAATTTAGTTTTTTTAAATTCGTTTTTTGAAATTTTTCTTCAATTCAATTTATTTTTTTTATGTCCGACCACCAAAGGTTGACAGAAAATGTAAAAAGAATATGAAATTTCATTTGGAAATTGCAATAAAAACAGCAAAAAAATCGATAATTATTGATCGACATTTGTTTTCAATTTACGTAAATAAAATTATTTTTTGTTGCACTTAAAAATTGAATTTGTCACCGGATAAGAATATGAGTTCAGGTAAAATATTTGTTATTTTTTTTTTTGTTTTTTCTTTTTTTCGCCGTTTTCTTTTTCTCACTTTTTTCTTCTTTTTTTCTCTCTTTTTCATCTTTTCCTTGTTTCTCTCTTTCTTTCCCTTTACTTTTCTATTATTTTTTGTTTTTCTTCCTTTTCTTTTTCTTCTTTTCTTTCTTCTTTCTTTCTTTTCTTTGTTTCTCTTTCACGCATCAAAACAAGAAATGTGTTTTACTTTTTCTTCGTGGATGACGGGGAGGACAGTGAACATTCGGAAAAGTTCTCGAAAGTGATTTGGTCTTTATATTCTTTAAACACATTCGAAGACTGGCATTTAGCAACGAACTGGAAAGAATAAAAACAAAAAGTCACGAGAGGGGGGGGTAGAATTTCTAAAAGACGACAAAGAATTGGTAAATTTTAAGGCGAAGATTCAGAAATTCCAAGGTACTTTTTTGAGGTCCGGGGCGAGGGTTCAAACAAGAATTCAATATTTCATTCCTACTTTTGAGATTTTAGAAGAAAAGTCAAAGATTGATGTCTCATGGAAAAGGGAATCGGTAAACCGGGTACAAATCCCGTTCACATCTGTGTTACATTCATTAGGAAAGGCATGAACCTATCTCGTCCCTGCATCAGTAAAACAACAGAGTAAACGAAACTCTCTAGTCTTGAATATGAAACCACACGGAAAAGGCAATAGCCATTTCCACACTCTCTCTCTCTCTCTTTCTCTTTCATAACGACGTTTCCTTCTCTCTTCTTCCCCATTCCTCCCCTTCAATACATTCCCTCCCTTATTATCTCATGAAACCTATCTATCGGACGATCTTTTTAGCTCTCAGTCAGATTCTCTTTCTATTTACATGAAAAGGAGAAAATATCCACCCACCATCTCTCTCTCTCTCTCTCTCTCTCTTTCATAACGTCCTTTTCTTCTCTCTCTTCTTTCCCTTCCTACCCTTCAATACATTCCCTCCCTTATTATCTCATGAAACCTATCTATCGGACGATCTTTTTAGCTCTCAGTCAGATTCTCTTTCTATTTACATGAAAAAGGACCTTTCTTCTCTCACTTCATGAAAAGGAGAAAATATCCTCCCTCATCTCCTCTCTTTCTCGTCTCTCTCTTTTTTCTTCAGTCTATCTACGTCCATCTATCTATCTATCTATCTATCTATCTATCTATCTCAGTCCTTTTCATTATCTATCTATCTATCTATCTATCTATCTATCTATCTAGGATATTTTTTGTCTTACCGAATTTACCCCGAGCTGTACAAGACTTTTTCTTTGGACATTCTTCGGAGTTAGTGTTATTTTTTGTTTGTCATCTTGTGTATCCATTTTTGTCTTTCTTTGTCGTCTTATTCGTCTGAATTGCGTATATTGTTTCAGATTGTGTTGGGTTGACGAGGGTAGGCCGAAATTATGTCGGAGTCCGAATCTCTTCCTGATTCTCCTAGAGAAGTATCCCCTTCGGCAAGGGATAGGCCCCCACGAAAAGGGCCAGAATATTTTAAAACATTAAGAGAAGTTTGATCCATCGGTCCTGTTGTATTGGACACAGTGAATCCAAGGACAATCTCGTTAGTAACAAAGGTCCCCAAGACCCGGAAGCTAAGGATGGAAAAAATATCTTCAAATCGCAGCCTTAATCTCTAAGAATAAGTAAGTCAATGTGGGACATCTTATTGCCGACAGAAGAGAAAGCCAAATCACTGGCAGGCTGTATTCTACTTCGACAGTATTGGTCTTTTCTTTTCTAAATATGGGGACGTCTCCCCTATTAAAATTAAGGCGGGAATTGCCACAGGTGATACTGAATTCTCAATTACATTAAATCGAAAGCAATTTACGGAAATACCCGACACGTTAATGTGAGGGTCATAATTATGTCGCCTATGGGGCTATGATACAGGAAAAAATTCTACCCTACAAAAAAAAAAAAAATTTAGACGGAAGTCGTCAAGAAAGGACCCAAAAGTACCACCACTTCCCTTCAGCAGTAGAATGAGTGTCCCCAACCAGAGTCAGAGGACCAGCAAGTAAGGGAATTAGAAATGAAGGAGATGTCCCCCAGGTCGTCTTTACGGAAAAGGGGGAGAGAGGAAGCAGAAGGAGAAAAGGTGCAAAAACCCTGAAGCCTCCAAAGAATCTGCTAAAACCAAGGCTCAATCCACCCCAGCTTCGCCAGTCAAGATTTTCTTCCTCCTTCCCTCGGAAAACACCACTGCCCCCATTTGCAATACACATCCTCATCAAACACCCCGTTCCAATAACATTGCAGCCGAAGACATTTTCCTCCTCCCAACAACTCACTTTTCCACCAGCACAACGTCTAGTCCATATTAGATTTTCTTTTCTAAAATATGGGGACGTCTGCTCTATTAAAAGTAAGGCCGGAATTAAATCAATTACATTAAATCGAAATCAATTTACGGAAATACCCAACATGTTAATGTGTCTATCGTCGGCCACTTTGTTGAGCTTCTTGGGTATGCGTGGCATGATCAACCATTTTTTCGTCAAGAAAGGACCTAAAATTACCCGCCACTTCCTTCAGCAGCGGAATTAATCCCCAACCAGAGCCAGAGGACCAGCAAGTAAAGGAATTAGAAATGTAGGAGATGGCCCCATCTTTTTTCTTCACTAAAAAAGGGAGAGAGGAAAGAAGAAGAAGAAGAAAAGAAGAAGAAGAAAAGGGGAAAAATAAAGAAATTGAAGCCAAGAGGCTCTGCCAAAATTGCCTCGCCAGTCAAGAATCTGGAAGAAAGTACCACAAGAAGTCTTTCCTTCTTCTCCTCTGAAAGCACCACTGTCCCCATTCAAAATGTTTCATCCCCCTCCCTTGATCATATTTCTATCCTCCCAACACCCCACTTTCAATTTGTCGTCCCCAAAGCCAAACACCTCCCAGCAGAGTTCTTCTTCTCGTAAGAAAGAGGATAATATCTTGCTATGTGGACAAGCAGTCACAAATATAGAAAAGTCAGAAGGGCATGTCGAAGCAAAAGAGACATTTGTTGAAGCCCTTGTTAAAAATGGCGTCAGTAGACGGACTTGCTACAGATGATCCCCGAAATTTTCCCAAGGCCGCTGGCGTAATGACATGGATAAAGAAGACAGGCCGAAATCTACTACCTTGGGATCACCTTCACCAGGCGAAGGATGCCATTCCGGAGATCCGTATGGCGGAAATAGGAACCCCGGAACTGAGAAAGCTACAGAAATATTGTGCAGGGAGGGTCCCAGTAATCCTTCATTATACAGGACATTAAAACTAACGTACCCGTCGGACGTTGGCGGTATTGTCAGAGATGGTCGTATGACGACAGAGATGGGGACAGGGAGCCTTGGACAATCCATCGGGGTCCTTTTATCCGTAGATTTCCGTCCAGTCTGTGAGTAGGGGAATCAACTTGAAAAATGTCTCTCAAGGTAGCTAGTTTGAATGCGAGGGGCTTGAAGGATCGGAGTAAGGCCGCCCACCTGCTTCGTGATCTCTTGTCGTCCGGCGTAGGTGTATCTGCGATTCAGGAGACGCACTTGAGAGGTTGATGCGCGTGTGCAGTCTAGCGACTATGCTGTCTATTCAGCATACGTGAACCAGCCGGATAGAGGTGTTTTCTTGCTGGTTAAACGTACCCTGGATGCGAGGGTGGAACTTGTTCTCGTGGATGCGGGGGCCGGGCGGTTGATAGTGGCTGATATTGCCGTGAACAGTGGTTCGTTTCGGATCGTTGCGGTTTATGCGCCCAACGTTCAGGGGGGATTAAAATGCTATCCTGGGCCTCAATATAGGGTGCGGGGATCTAGCAGAGGGTCATTGGGTGATCGTAGCTTGGTTAATCTGATCGACGAGTTCGGTCTCGTCGATCACCCCGGGCGGGAGATGTGGACGTAGACTCGTAAGTGGCTGTCTACCCAGGTGGTCAGCTACCTGGATCGAATGATAGTGAGAAGGGCCGATGTAGACCTGCTAGATTATTCAACGTTCCACTGGTTAGGCTATACGGACCATAGACTCATCTGTGTCCGGATAACGTTAGATTCCAGGCCTAGAATGGCTGGACACTGGAAGTTCAATCTGTCCTTACTGGACAGGCGGGACTCCAGCAAGAGCTAATTAGACTAGTACAGCGGGAACTAGTGGGGGCGGTTATTGGGAAAGGTGGTGGGAGAGACTTAAGTATAGGATTATGTCCTTCACGACCGAATATAGCCAGCGGCTCGCACTAGATAAGGCTAAAAAGGTGAAGACACTTAAAGATAGTCTGTCTCGGGCGGAGGCTGGTGGGGATTCCCTAGAGATAGGTTTAGCTAAGCAAGGCTTGGAGCGCACGGCTAGCGAGCGCTACCAGGGTCAGGTAGTTAGACAGAGGTTAAACAAGATGTCTAACGAAGCCTCACATTTCCTGCACTAGGTCCGATTAACTGTCGACTTTCCACAACGAGTGTCCAGAGGCTTTGAGGGCTTTTCCTCGGTCCAGTGAACTTTCACGGTCGCGAAAGGTCTTGTATCGTGAATTAATGGAGGGGGTCGAGAATGTTTTTGGACGAGTTGCGCTCTTCTGGTCTTGGGCGCCAGCGGCGAATTACCTCAGTAATTGAATTTTAATAATTATATAGAGGGTTTCGGCTCTCGTTTTTGAAACATGACAACTCTTATGTGGCGAAGGAATCATATTTTTTAAAAATTAATTATAATTAAAGCTCTACTTCTGTATGGAGCACTGTTTTTTAAAAATAAAAACAAAAATACTAAAGAACTCCGGATTATTTACATAACGTGTTCTTTTCTATTTTGCTGCATACCTGCACATTATATATATATATATATATATATATATATATATATATATATATATATATATATATATATATATACACACATTCTTTGGAACGACAACCTTTTCTCTTTTATTCAATAGTTTCTGTTTTGTATGTGCGAATCATTCCGTCTGTCTGTCTGTTTGTCTGTCTGTCTGCCTATATCTCACTCTGTTCATATCTATCTATCTATCTATCTATCTATTTTACACTGTTCATATCTATCTATCTATCTATCTATCTATCTATCTATCTATCTATCTATCTATCTATCTATCTTTCTATCTATCTATCTATCTATCTATCTATCTATCTAGTTTTGCCCAAATGATGAAAAAAAGCCCTAAACTTGATTATAAAACTTTTGTATTGTCTAAATGTTTATGTCATTATTAAGAGGAAAGACCAAAGTATTTTTGTGAATTTAAAAAAAATTTTTTAATCCTATCTAGCACGTCTGAAATTTTAGGTAAACATCTTGATTTTTTGAGTTATCAAAAATTCACGAAAACTCAATCCATTAGCCATTATTGACAGTTTTATAATCAAAAAAGACAAATTTCCCGTTTAAAAATCTTGTAAAATTCAATTATACTTTTATTTTAGGAAAATTAGTAAATTTAATGTATATTTAATATAATCTGAAAGAAACATTACTTAAACTTTTATTGAAAATTTTTTAAGAGAGATATTTCCAAGCGTGGTGCTTGTGTTTTTGGGGCCTGATTGACAGGTGTTAACTGATGTACGTCGACAACTTACGTCAGGGAAATTTATCGGATGGTAGGACAGAAGTGAAATAATTTGTGCTAACCAGATCTATTAACCAGTAAGCCTGGTTAGTAGATGTATTAAAAAAATTACAGTTTCCAACATTTTTTTATCACCTTACTTTTGAGGAAGAATTCTGGAATAAAAATAACATTTAAACTACGAAAAATACATTTTATAATCCAAATTTTATAAGACAATATTATTACGTTTCACATAAAATTTTATGTTTTTTTTTTTTCATTACCTTTTCTTGTAAGTTGTGGGATTTATTACAAGCTGTTGACAGATGTTTATTGCTGGGTGGCTGACCTTTGACCCAGATATATCAAAGTCAAATTGGCTTAATATTCCTTAACATCCTCATTTTTTATTTTTTTTTAAAGAAACTCCTGGTTTCCAGTAGTCAGGAATTGTGGATAAATCTTTCGCCTTTTATTAAAGATTTTCGTGGCTGAGTTTCAATTTCTTTAACCCTTGGTAGTCATATAATTGAAAATTACCAATGAGCTTTGTCGAATTTTAACCCCCTAAGAATGTTGTTTTTCTTCAAACTCTCAATTTTATGCCTGAAATAGTTTGATTATGATTTAGGTTTCTGACACCCCCACCCCCCGCAAAAAAAATGAAAAAAAAGAATTAACGTGATATGTTTTTTTCAGAAATGTGCATCCATAGTTTTGTCAGAGCCGCTGTTAAATCAGTTTTTTGGTATAATAAATAGATAAATAATAATTTTAATAATCTTTATAATTTATGATCTGTACAATAAGAGCATTTCCTGAGGTTTACAATTTCAAATTTAATTTTAAAAGGATTATCAATTTATCATTTTTTTTTTATTTATCATTGAAAAAAATAAAACAATTCTTGTAAAAAAATGAATTATTTAACCGAAAAAAATTTTGGCTTCAGACAAAAACGTACGTAATATATATTATTGTTAAAAGCCATTAAAAGCTGTTTTCATTAAATAATGTCTTAGTTTTCTTGAGTTTTGTATTTTTAAATTCAGGGCTAAAGTTTGAGTGGTTGAGTTTAAAATTTTACACGAAATCGATGATTTAAATTTTTCAAAGTCTCCTTCATTTAATTAAAAATTTACAGAGGTACACAGTTACTAGTTTTAAAATTTTCATAAATTAAGTAAAGTGGGGTATCAGACGTAAAAAAAAAATCACCATGACTTTCTAAAAAACAAATATTTCTAAAATAAATTCATTCATTTTTTAATAAGTTCTGAAAGTTTCATTACATTCCGAAAATTATTTGAGTTTTGCAAGAATTTCCACATTAATGTGTTTTCAACTGACTTAAAAAACAAAAAAACAAAAAAAACAAAAATCTCAGATTTTCAACCAAAATTTCAAACGTTCTAAAAAGGGATAAAAAAATTTTAAAAATCGTTTAAAAAAACTTTGGTCACTTCTCTTATTTATTTTTTACTACATTTTTATTTTAGTATTAATAAGTGTTTTTTTTTATTTTATTAACTATTTTTTTAGATTTACTAACAAGAAATAAAATAAACATGAATTCGATTTCAAAAATAAAGCTTTCATGAAAATAATTCCAGATCTTCATGAAACTATTCAACATTTTCACCCCTCTCTCATCATTACACGTTCTCTCCCCCCCTTTCTGTCATCTATAACACGTAAAGAAACTCACGTGTCGTGTTTCGTTTGAAACATTTAAATTATTGGCGAACTGCTACGAGATTATCTGCCCTAATCAGTTTTAGTGCAGATGAAGATGAGACTTGATGTGGATCTACTGGAGGATGCTGAGGATACCATTGGCCGAACATGTGAGCAAGGATGTTCTTTTGGTAAAAATAGAACTTAATATCAAGAAGAGACTTTTGAGGTTTCTGGGGGAAACATAATGTGAAAGAAAGGCTTGGAAAATCTGATCCTCACGGGAAATATAAAAGTCAAAGGTGAGAAACAGTACATGACATATTTGGAGAGCTTGTGTAAATGCTGGGCGGTACATGGCTTTGGAGAAATAACAGACAGGTTAAGTTTATTAAGCGCTGCAAGTTGTAGAGAGCCATGATCGCATACGTCCTGAGTGGACATGGCACATAGAGAAGATTGGAAAATTGGAGACTTGGATGGTTCTAACATTAAAAAAAAAACAGTATCAAGAGAGAATAAAAGATTTTAAAGGAAGAGGAATGTAAGCTGATATTTTTGTGAAAAGGATGTATTTTATTTCATCAAAATTTCTTCTCAATTGTTTAAATGATGATGATGATGATGATGCGACCTCGTCATTTTCTTTCTCTTCATTTTTAATCAGATTAATGATGATGATGTTACGAGTCCATTTTTCTTTTCTCTGTCCGGAACAGACAAACCGCTCTCTTTAATTCCAACCTGCCCTTCTATTCCGGACCCAAGAGTAGACGGTTGTGGCTCATCACAGCATTCATCTCTTTCTGCAATATCTGGGGTGTGGCCATGCAAAAACAAAAACCTACTTGGAATTTCCATCTAAAAAAATAAAACAATCAACACTTTCTCCTCTTTTAAAAATTCTCTACAATCCCCCGCCTCCCAGCCTATCGCCAGTCATCCTTTTTATTGTCGCCAGTTCCTTACACATTTTAGTCTGGAAATTGCTTTAAACAAATAAAAGACAAATTTTAGTCTGAACCTCTAAAAAGAAATTGCTTTAAAACAAAAAAAAGAAAAACTTTTTTTCTGAAAATTAAAACCATGGAAACAGTTAAAATTCAGTGAAAATCAAAAAAAGAAATTGAAAAAAAATCGATCCATCGAAAAAAAAAAAGAGGAAAAGAATAACAAAGAAAAAAAAAAGGGAAAAAAATAAAGAAACAAAAAGAAAAACTTTCAGATTCTTCTGGAAATTCATAGAAAGCTTTTCCCATCAAAACATTAAAAATTCCTGCTTGGGACGAAAAATAAAAAAATCTCATGAATCGAAAATTGTTATCCTTCGAAAAAGTTCATTATAATATTTTTTATGAAAAAAAATTGGTTTTTTTAAAAATCAGTGAAAATCAATTTTATTTATTTGCTTAAATTAAAAAAAATATCGATCCAAAAAAACAAAAAAATAAATTGAAATAAACTAAATTTTATTGGGAAACAAAAAAAATAAACATCAAAATTTATATATTACAGTTGACTTTTAGTGATTATAATGCAAATTAACCAAAAATACATAATTATTTGTTCTTAAATTTGCAGATTTAATCCCCGGAGTCATCTATTTCAATTTTGACTTCTCTAATTGTCAATATACTTTAATTCGGTCTATTATTCTCAGTCTGATTATTATAGACATTCCTAAGTGTATCCATGCTGTCAAAAATAACGGCAATTCTTCGAAGTTTTAAGTTTTGAAACAATGTATTTAGATTCAATAAAGTAGAGATCAAAGAATTCACAACTAAAATGGAGGCCAATGAACCGTTTAATTAATCGGTTCCTTTTATATATATATTTTTTTAGACATTCAATGCTATTCTTTCTTTCTTGTGGAGAGGCAAGGCCGCCATGGTTAGTCGCGAGTTCTGTTACCTCCATCTCTCTGATTTAGCGGTCTGGGGGTGCCTTGCATTGAGACTCGTCGACATACGCTTCGCATTACTTATCTAGACCGGATGTGTTTGCAACTGGATGAGAACGGCCAATTCTGAAAGGAAGACGCTAGTAAACATTTTGCATCCTTGAGAAATGTGCGCTCGAAGAGGCCGGCCGTACGCCTCGAGCTGAGGACTCTTTCTATCGTGAATGTCGGCTTGCCCGCAAGCGACACTTACGGGCGAAGGATGGCCTCTCCGACGCCAGCCGTTGTCCTGTAAGGCATTATATCAGGTGTTAGTTAGGGGAAACGTTCAATATGATCTGATAGGCGAGCTCGATCTGACGAAGCGGGAGGCACGCTGCATATGGCCTTGGGCGCCCGGGTTGAAATGTCTCACTAAGCCTGAGGTATCCCTCACCTTGCTGGTGATTCGTGGGTCCCTCTGGGTCGCCAAAAGTCTTCGCGCAACGGGTTTGGCTAAGTCGCCAAACTGCGTTCGCTGCATTGGGGAGGTGGAGACACTAGGTCACGCCTTCTTTCATTGTAGTGTCGTAGCTCCGTTGTGCAAGTTTGTTGAAGTCATCATGGTTCGCATGCTGCGCGTAATGTTCTTTGTCCTCGAGGCCAGTTCCGTCTGTAGCAATATAGTACCGCCGTTGATTAAGGCTGAGTACTATGTGTTCCTTTGCTTACTGGGGGTTATGCGAGTCGTGATATGGACGACGCGACAGAAGGAATTCCATGGGGACGAGATGTTTACCTCTTCTCGACTGATCTTCTTTAAACATCAGCTTAAAGTCAAGATCAGGATGGAAAGGAAACGACTTCATCCATTGGAATTTGGCGAAAGATGGATGAGTCTTGCGCGTCTCTGCCGAGTGAAAGATACTGACTTGGAGTGGCATTTTCATGCCGGTTAGGCATTAAGAATTTTGGGTTTGCTGGTTTGAATATTGACAACCCTTCTCGTGTATAGGTTAGTTTAGGTCGGTTTTGTTTTAGTTACCTTTTCTCTTTTTTTCCATGTTAACTTAGCTAGGGTGTGTATACTCATTTTTTTTATTTCTGGCCCTATTTTTTCATCTTTTCTTTAATTCCCCATCCCACCCATCATTAGGTGGTTAGTGATATCAGTTCTCTGGTGAGTGCGGGGCACCTTTCGTTTCGAGTGTATCTTTCGTATATTGTTGTTATGTTTGAATGAGTGTGTTTGTAGTGAGTGCATGGCTTGTACGAATGTTTTATAATTTTAAAGTCCCGCATTGATTTCGTCCAGTTAACTGATGTTTCTGCCAAAGTTAGGGCTGTGTTTTTTTTTTACTACTAACAAAATTTTTGTTTAGTTTCTTGTATATAGTTTTGTATACATATGTAAATACTCATTGGGGTTTTTAGACTTTTAAATTGTTATTTTTATTCTAAAGCACAGACAATGAATTGTAAATATGGGGACTAGTTTAGGACTTCATAGAGTTTCTGTGGCATTATGGTGGTTGAGGTCAGAATGATAAGTAAGAATGCGTTGTTTTGGTGAAAGGAATATTGTTTATATGCCTGGATCAGTGATTGTAACAAGCTAAGTTTAATCTTAAGACAATTGATGATCGTCCTTTTCCACATTCCCCCTTTCTGGCCTTGTGCCACATTTGTACCTTTTTACGTACAATAAATATTTTCACCTAAATATTCCGTCTTCAGCATGTCATGCGGAATACGTGTCCTTTTTTTTTGGGTAAGTAATTTTCTTTTCCATCGTAGGAGACACGCGACGCGCTGTCGCTTGGTTTGACGAGGTAAGTCGCCATTTTAAAGAGTTTCAACAAATTTCAGAAATAGCAGAAGGTTGAAAGGAAACCAAATTAAAAATTTGAATTTCTGATCCATTTTTTTACAGAATTCAATTTTCTGAAAATGAGAAAATTACTTAAATCTTATTGGGTTGTATTCAATTCTTGATAGAAGGAGGAGGGGGAAGAGGAGGTGGAGGAGGAGGGGAGGAGATGAGGAGGAGGGAAGAGGAGGTGGAGGAAGAGGGGTGGAGATGAGGAGGAGGAAGAGGAGGAGGGTATGAGCATGGGAAAAGGAAGAGGAGGAATAGCAATCTTTGTATTGACAGACGTTTTATGACTAATGTTTTTAAAAAAAATTAATCCATGAAAGGCATGTGGATCAGTTCAATGACCCCCCTGTACAAAGAAATTTGGTTCAACAATGAACAGTGGCATGTAAAGGTCATATAGGTGGAAAACTGGTAGAGTCCTTTTTTTTGGGTAAATTTTTCCAAATTTTTTAAAAATTTGAATTTCTGATCCATTTTTTACAGAATTTTATATGTGGAAAAGGAATAGCAATCTTTTTCTTTTTACTAACAATGAAAATACAAAACAATAGGTTCAAAAAATATTCTGAAGCAGTAAAACCTCTTGAAACAATTTTAATTTTAGTCAATTTTCAAGTCGCCACTGAATTTCAACATAAAAAATTCTAATATATATTTTAGTTGATGAATTTTATTCATGTCGCAGTTGACCTCCAGCACCGATTTTTCAGTAATCCTTATTATAAATACATAATCTAATCTCAAATAAAAAAAAATCTAAAGTATACAGTGTGGATGTTATTCCTGTCTATGACCTTCAACCTTCCTTTTTCAGTGACCCCAGTTTGAAAGTAATAATTGACTCACAAATAATTCTAAAATATATACAGTTGATTTTATTGGTGTCTGTGAGCTCCAACTAAAATTTTCAATTATCTGATATCCAAATAATATTATAATATATTTAAAAAAATAATCCCAAAACAGAGACAGTTGATATTATAACTTTTATGTCTTCCAACATCAATTTTTCAGTGATCCCAATTCCAATGTCATATTCTACACTCATATAAAAAATTCTAAAATATAGACGTATGATGTTATTGCTATGAAATCCAAGGTAGATTTTTAGTGATCCCTATTCTATATTCATAATCTACTCTCAAATAAAAATATCTAAAGTATAAGTGTGTTGATATAATTCCTGTCTCTGACATGCAATCTCCATTTTTCAAAAATCCCTTCTAAAAATTATTTTACAACTCTCCAATCAAAAAACTTTAAATTATAGACAATTGATTTTATTCCAGACAATGAACATGAATCTCCATTTTTCAATGATCTGAATGTTAAAGACATAATCTATTCAGAATTTTTTTTAAATTCTAAAAATAAAGATGTCTGCTTCTTCAAGTCTATAACCTCCAACTTCCATTTTTCAGTTATCTCCATTCTAAAGCCATGTTCTACTCTCAAATATTTTGTCATTAAGCATATAGAAAAAAAAGGGTCGATTTAAGGGAAATTACCGAAAAAAAATCAATTAGAGTTCTCTCCCTTGAATAGGTGGAGTTAAGAATTTTTTTTTATTTGGTTGCTTTCTTTCATGAATCGAAATAAAGGAAGATTTAAAGAAAAAAAGAGGAAGAAAACATTTCTGAAATAATTTCATTCATTTCTGAAGATGTCCTGAGTTTCATTTTCATTTTCCGAGTTTGATGATCGAGTTATGGTGTCTACAAAAATGCTCGTCTGTCATTTTATTTCCCGAATGAATGTTTAAAATAACCAACTGAATGTTTTTCATTTCAAATATTGACTCCGTATTTTGGTCATGCAAACATTTTCACTGCTATTTAGGCTCTTTTTTATAATTAAAACATAGACGGAATACTCCTTTGACAAAATTTAAAAAAAAAAAGTATGTATATATATATATATATATATATATATATATATATATATATATATATATATATATATATATAGGTTATATATAAAATCGTTTTTACGTTAAAAAAAAAAAAAAAATCGTTTTTTGACGTTAAAATACGTAAAAAACGATATATATATTATATATATATATATATATATATATATATATATATATATATATATATATATA